ATCAATGATGAGAGAGAATCATTGACTGACTGCCTCCTGCATGCCCCCCACTGGGGATCAAACCTGCAACACTGGTATGGACCCTTGACTGGAATTGAACCTGGGACCCTTGAGTCTGCAGGCTGACACTCTATCCACTGAGCCAAATCAGCTAGGGTGGCTGTTGTCATTTTTTAAAAATTTGACAATTTAAGGGAAAAGAGATCAGTGTCTCTGAATAATCAGGTATTGCATGTTTTAGAAATTCTTGTGGTACACTGGTTGACAATTGCTGCTCTAGGGTCTTTGATAGATATGATGAATGAATGTAAAGAATTTCATGGTGACTTCTAGATCAGCAATGTCCAATGGAACTTTCTGCTATGATGGAAATGTACTATATCTTCTCTGCCCAATATAGTGGCCACTTACCACCTAAATATAGGTAATGCTACCAATGAACTGAATTTTAAATTTTCTTAACAAAATACATTTTATTTAATTTTAATTAATTTAAATAGCCTCATGTGGCCAGTGGCTACCATATTGGGCAGTGCAGTTCTAGATCCTTTTTATCCCTTTAACTGAAGGCCTCAGGCATCATTTCACTGCATTTCCTTGGGTTTTCTGGGATTAACTATTATCCAAGGCTTCTAGGTTCCCAGGGGATAGGGTGATCATATAATTGTCCAAACCTGGATACTTTTCGAGAGACCGGGAGTGTTACTCCAATTATGGTGAGGCAAGAGGCATAATCTGGGTTATCCAGGGCACACAAGAAGGCTGTTCCCCACCCCCCACCCACAGGGATTGCTGTTTGAAGATTCTATTGGGAAGTCACTGGACTTTTCAGACTGCTGTTACAGATCAGGTTTAAGCATCTCTTTGGGGCACACATTTCCTCATACCATGATTTTCTTTGCCCCCACAAATATTTACCAAAAATCTTTATAATTCATTTCTGCTTTCCGGTGACTTCCAACCATGAAGTAAAGCAATGTCTAACATGAGGCTAAATGACCAACTCAAAACAGAAGTAGATAATTAATCATACTGATTTGAGTTTTAGACCAAAGTATCTGAATAGCTAATTGGGCTCATTGTTAAGTTTTCCCCTGGCTTTTGGGTAAGAAGCCAAAGAGAGCCAAAAAGATCAGAGGTATTTCTTTGCAGTGTAGTCACTCAGCATTCCCGGATGGACACAACTTCTCCCAAAGGGATTAAAGTGGGCAGGCTGAGCATGAGGCAGTTCATTTAGTCCAGATTCTGAATTTTCTGTCGGGAGTGGATCCCAGAAATAAGTTGCTTTGGGTCCTCGCTTACCTTTCTGCCATCGGTTGAGGAAGCATATTAAGATCTGCTTTTAACAGTTACATTTCAGCAGGATACGAGCAACTGCAGAATACTTTAGGGTTCCTATTTTTAGAACTCAACCTGTTTTGAAATAACCTAGAGGGCTTTTTTTTTTCTTTGACACAAAGTACAGAACATGGATTGAAACATCAAATCATAAAAATAATTTCAAAATTCCAATCCAAATGCCTCTATACACCAAATGTCTTTAAAAGCAACCAAGTCACTAGACAGGCCAATTCTCATGTAATCTCACTGACATGCTATGGCTTTTCACATCCTGCCCACCTTTTGTAGCATACTTTATGTTGAACACAGTAGAGTTTTGTGTTAAGAAAAAATATTTCAGAATTTAATAGGCATGTGGGTGAATAGGAAAAGAGAAGGCAATTATTTCAGGAGATTTACCTGCCGGGAAAAGAATTTAGCTGCATAGTAATTCAAATAATAAAAGCGAGGTCTCTGAATCATTTTGTCAGAGGTTTTCCACCAACCTGATAGCTCGAATGACAGTTTTAAGTGGTGGGGTGAGGTCTTCTACAGATACATCACACTGGCATCCTTTTTCATCATATACATCATCAGTGCCAAGGGCGGTGTCAGCTGCAAGAGAAAATTCCCAGTTAAATGCCACCAGCAGCAATTTAAAACATGGTGCGGAACTTGTCTCACAAAGCAATAGGGGGGAACTCACAGACTAACCTTACACATCAAGTATAAGGTCAGCCAATTGTTTTCCTCAATGTTATTTCTTCTCCTTTCTCTACAACCGCACCAATTTTCTGTCATTTGACTTGAATACCCTCCTAAGCTGATCTCCACAGGGAAGATGAAGATGTTGATGAGCTGTCTTTCCTTCAGTGGTGATGGATTTGTGTTGACCCACCCCTGCTCTTTGCCCAGTTCTTTGAAACTAACAGCCAGCATTTAAAAAACAGTTGTTTGGAGTTAGGGAAACAATCTATGGATACTTAACTAATTGATCTCTATCTATAGAGCTTGAAACCCATGACAATGACCCTGTTAGCCCCAAACCCTGAACAGGCAAGTAAGCCCTCAGACCCAAGAATCCTGACTACTTATTAGCTACTGCCTGACTACACAGGCAGCCCAGGAGACAGCTTGCTTAAGATAACACAACCGATGCCGAGAGATTTTCAGGTTGGTAATAAAATCAGTTCCTCATAAACTGAGCAAATTAACTTTTTTTTTCTTTCTGAAACAAATTAACTTTTGGGTTAATAGCAAAGGTTGTAAAAGGGGGTAGGGTTACAATAAACCAAATTAGTAAGGATTTATAAAATTAATAAGAAACTCATATCATTGCAGCTTTATTTTCAGCAACAAAATATTGAAAAGAAATTACAATTTTTGGAATGGGAGATGAGTGAAATAAATATTGGTAGGTTTATATAATACAATATTAGGAAGCCGTAAATATGATGTTGAATACGTGGAATTCAATTAACAAAATAAACTGATGAACGGAGTGGATCCAGAGACATGGAAGCATGGAACAGAGTGGAATCTCAGAGGGAAGGCAGGGGAGGGAGGGTAGATGGGAGGTAATCAACCAAAGACCTTGTATGCATATACTTATAACTTGTGGACACAGACAGTGGGGTGGTGAGGATCTGGGGTGAGGGGTGGGGGCAGGCTGGAGGGGCTCAATGGGACATATGTAATACTTTCAACAATAAAGATTTAAAAAATTGCTAAAAAATAAATAGAAAATAAAAAATGGTGTTGTTGAAGACTAATAATTAAAAAAGTCACAATATATTATTATTATTTAAAATGTTTAAAACAATTTTTTAAATTGATTTTAGAGAGGAAGGGAGAGGGAGAAAGAGATAGAAACATTAATGATGAGAGAGCATCATTGATTGGCTGCTTCCTACATGCCCCCTACTGGGGATCAAGCCCATAGTCTGGGCATGTGCCCTTGACCAGAATTGAACCTGGGACCTTTCAGTCCACAGGCTGACTCTCTATCCACTGAATCAAACCAGCTAGGGCAAAATTATTTATTTATTTATTAAATTTATTGGGGTGACTTTGGCCAACATGAACATATAGGTTTTAGGTCACAAAATATTATTAAAGAAAAAATCTATATATCTATTGGGATTAAGCATGATTTTATAATTTTGCTTGGCTATATTTCTAAAATGTCTACAATAAACATATTACTTTGGTAATAAAGTAATAAAAAATCATACATGAGATGAGTTATATAGCCTCCAAATATACGGCTAAGCCTCTTTAAATGCTGACATACACTAAAGGACTAACACTGCTCTCTGTTGCCTTTGCTCTGCTCAGTGGTCATGTGCTAAGTCATGAAATGTCCTTTGCCATGGGCTGTCCAGGTTGGGTTAAAAGTCCTGAAAGACTTTTGGATGTCCATTCATTGAAGCAGTGCTTAATGAAAGGCAGTTGATGTGTCATTTAATTCAACTACAGTGGAGCCTTGACTTACGAGTGTCCCGACTAACGAGTTTTTCGAGATATGAGCCATCTCTCGGCCGATTTTTTGCTTTGAGTTGCGAGCTAAAATTCGGGTTATGAGCCAGCTTCAGATACCCCACCGCTAGTTGGCGCAACGAACGTCGCAGTGAACGCCACAACATCAGCCCAGCATCACGTGTCTCACTCGTTCACTTTTTGATTTGACATACGAGTAATTTGAGTTACGAGCTCCATCACGGAACGAATTAAACTCGTAAGTCAAGGCCCCACTGTATTTACTGTGTGTTTATTCAGTTTATTGTGTGCTGAGAGTGGAGGTGGTGGTGGTGGAAGAGATGGGTCTTCCCAGCTCTTCTTCATGGTCCCTCTGGCCTGATAGTGATGATGATGATGATAATAATAATAATAGCAGCCACTCACTGAAATTTATGCCAGGCACTTAGGTGAAGCTTCTGAAAGCATTAGTTTTCTTCCAGGAACTCTATAGGTTGTTGGTGATATTATGCCTGGTTTTTAGATGCCAAAACAGGCTCAGAGAAGGTAAGTCTTACTTAAGGCCACAAAGGTGGTAAGTGTAGCTAATAAGTTGCAGAGCATGTTATTAATTTTTAAAATTTATTGATTGATTTTAGAGAGAGAAAGAGGGGAGGGAAAGAGGGAGGGAGGGAGAGAGAGAGAGAGAGAGAGAGAGAGAGAGAGAGAGAGAGAGAGGGAGGGAGAAAGATTTGTTATTTCATTTATTTATGCATTCATTGGTTGATTCTTGTATGTGCCCTGATTAGAGATCAAACCCACAACCTTGGTGTATCTGGATCATGCTCTAATCAACAGAGCTACCCGCCAGGGCTGCAGAACATGTTATTAAAATTCTGTTTCTTGAGGCTCCAAAGCCCTTGCCCTTGCTTTATGCAGTGTTAGATGCATTCAGGGTTCAATAGTGGCATGCAGCATGTCAGGAGAGGGCCGGGGGAAGAGCTCAGCTGGCGTGCTGCCTCTTGGGTATATTCCACTTCTCTCCAGACAAGTTTGCCACCGTTTGGATAAGAGTACACTGATTAACTCTGTCAGTAGGTTCTGACTCAGTGATGACCTTGATGGTAGCTAGCCATTTTGCTTAATCAACCACCCACACAACACTACCCTTTTAGCTTATAACATCATGCCCAAGGTTAGATGACATTCTTCCAGGAACTCTTCATGATTTCTTCCTCTTAGTTGGTGAAGTAGGTTGAATAATGTTGCCTCAAAGTTCATGTCTACTTAGAATATCAGAATACAGTGGGGCCTTGACTTACGAGTTTAATTCGTTCTGTGACGGAGCTCGTAACTCAAATTACTCGTATGTCAAATCAAAAGTGAATGAGTGAGACACGTGATGCTGGGCTGATGTTGTGGCGTTCACTGTGACGTTCGCTGCGCCAACTAGCGGTGGGGTATCTGAAGCTGGCTCATAACCCGAATTTTAGCTCGCAACTCAAAGCAAAAAATCGGCCGAGAGACGGCTCTTATCTCGAAAAACTCGTTAGTCGGGACACTCGTAAGTCAAGGCCCCACAGTATGACCTTATTTGGAATAAGGGTCTTTGCTGATGTAATTAAGGTAAGGTGTCAGATGAGATCATCCTAGATTAGAGTGAGCCTTAAGTCCAATGAAAGTGTCCTTGTAAGATAGAAAAGGAGAACACACAGGAGCACAGAGAATATGGAAGAAGAGGAGGGAATGATGGGTCTCCAAGCCAAGAACACTGAGCCTGGCTGTCAACCGCCAGAAGCCGAGGGAGGCACCTGATGGCTTCTCCCGCAGAGATCCCAGAAGGAACCGCCTGTGGAGGCACTCTGCTTTGGGACACCCTGATTTCTTCAATTGTGAGTGAATACATTTTTATTGTTTCAAACCACCCAGTTTGTGGAATTGGTTATGTAATCCTTAGGAAACTGATACAATTGGGAACACTTTTCTTTACGGTTTCTCTTCACTCAAGAACAATAATTATGATGATAATAGTAGTAATATGTGCTTTTAAGGGAAATCTAACTATGTGCCAAGGACTTTGATTAATTGCTAAAAACCCCAGGAAGGACATAATATTATTAGCTCCTATTTCACAGATTATGAAAGTGAGGCACACAAAGCTAAGAAACTTGCCCAAGGACACATGGGGCAGAAGCAGAATTTAAATCTGGGCAGTTGGGCTCTGGAGCTGCACTGTTAAACCCGGCCCGGCCCAGGGTCTCACTCCCGGCTCCTTCCAGATTTGTCTTTCTTGCCCCTCTAGATGTTAGCATCTAGATGTTAGCATCTAGATTTCCTTCTCCTGCGTTTCCTTTTCCTTCACATGGCTGTGAGCACCTGGCTGTCGTGGTCTCAGGTGAAGTGACCCCACAACATTGAAAAAGGATCAGACTTGGAGCAATGAGGTTCCCAAGACCATGTGCTGAGCCAGTCCACACCCCAAGGAGACCTGGAAATACACATACCCTGGAACTGCGAGGAGACTGTGGGTGTGGGGGGCGCAGGTACAGGCCAGGTGGCTGTCAGAGCCAGTCACCAGGCACCACTATGGAGCCCTGGGAGACACCCAGATGTTGCCTACCCCAAAGAAATATAGAGCCATGCACTTTATCAGGATTCCCAGCAAGGAATTCAGGAGAGTATTCTATGCTGCCCTTGACAATAGAGGCATGTGACCTCTCTCCCTCATCTGAAATCTCGTGAGAACCACTCTGACATGGTCCCATTTTACATCTCAGAAAACTGGGGGGAATGAGAGAGGTTCCAGGGAGGGCAGGTCCTACTTGAAAATACAATACACCCAATCATAACACAATGACGCAGGTCCAAACAATGGAACAGTATAAAATACAGGGCCTTTTAAAAAAATTAAAAAAAAATTGGTCATTTTATTTTAATTATTTTTGTTAATCCTCACCGGAGGACATTTTTCCTTTGATTTTTTTGAGAGAATGGAAGAGAGAGGGAAAGATAGAAACATCGATGTGAGAGAAACACATCGATTGGTTGCTTCCTGCTTGAACCCCAACCAGGGCCCAGGCCCAGGAGGAGCTTGCAACCAAGGTATGTGCCCTTGACCAGAATCGAACCTGGGACCCTGGTTCGCAGGCAGACACTCT